TAAACAAAAAAGTAACTGCCAGAGTGCCTATTTCGGGTCAGTTTTCCCGGTCACAAGTCCGGATAAAGGAGGAGGGTTGGAATTGTGACATTAAAAAAAACAATAATTGCTAAAACAAATTTAATGTGTGGTTTTTAATATATAATAAATGGTTTTAGGGTGTTTTTACTGACTTTATGTTTCTTCCATGATGTTATTTCTCTCTCCTACAGGGTCCTTTATAATTACATGACCAATTATGCAAATTAGGCGATGACGTCATCTAGCGACTTCGTCCTCCAGCTTCACTGTTTATATATTATGCTAACATAGCTGTGTCGCTAGCGATCACATAGCACATCATTATATACCAGCTAGCCAAACTTCAGTAACCCCACAAACCTCACTGCTGTTTACTTTCCTGTACGACGTCGGGCACAGGAACCAGCAGGAGGCTGGACACCTGACTTCGGGGTGTCGTCCCAGGGTCCTTTTTTTGTAAATTTTTTGTGTAACATATCTGACATACATAAGTACGTTAGACTGAAAGATGCAGAATCCTGACAGTCAGAAAATGCTGTTTTATGCTAAAGCACAGATAAGACATTTTTGAAAATCATGGACTTCTTCACAGTTTTCTGAAACAATTTTACAGTGTGTAGGTGTGCCCCCCTCCCCCATGTGACTTTTTCAGGGACTGAAACAGTGGTGGCTGTTTGTAAGAATCTAAAATATAAAACACTTTTTTGTTTACTACATAATTCTATATGTGTTCATTCATAGTTTGATGCCTTAAGTGAGAATCTACAATGTAAATAGCTATGAAAATAAAGAAAAACATTAAATGAGGTGTGGTCAAACTTTTGACTAGTAGTATATATGTCCACAAACCCTCACACTCCCGTGTTTTATGTAAGAAATATTTAATAAGAATCTAACTTGCAGATTGATTTTCTTTGTTGTGCAATCACAACCACGGACTCTATAGCATTATCCAGGCAGTGGTGCTACATTTAAAGCAAAAACAGATAAATAAAATATAAGGGTTTTTTTGTTTTTTTGTTTTAGTTGGTATTTCCAGGTTTATTACGTCATGATTTAGTCAAACCAATCAGCGTCTAGTTCTGACCCAAATACGGAAGCAGCACAGACAGCGGCGAAAGTAAAAGTTGACACGCTTTTTTGGGCGTGGAAATGCAGTCCAAAGGCTTTTTATAGACACTAATTATTATAACCACAGGGACATCACATCTTATTTAATGCTCAAGATGTCTTCCTCTTGGTTTCGCGTTGCACTTCCGCTTTGTTTTGCGGTTTTATCGGTCGCCCTGGCCATCAGCGGACAGATTCCCGGTAAGCGGTGAATGAGTGCGCGAAATAGCGAAAT